GCGGCTCGGGGAGCGCGGCTCGGGGAGCGCGGCTCGGGGAGCGCGGCTCGGGGAGCGCGGCTCGGGGAGCGCGGCTCGGGGAGCGCGGCTCGGGGAGCGCGGCTCGGGGAGCGCGGCTCGGGGAGCGCGGCTCGGGGAGCGCGGCTCGGGGAGCGCGGCTCGGGGAGCGCGGCTCGGGGAGCGCGGCTCGGGGAGCGCGACTCGGGGAGCGCGGCTCTCGGGGGATCGGGGGAGCGCTCTCGAGAGCGGGAGCTCGGGGAGCGCGGCTCGGGGAGCGCGGCTCTCGGGGGATCGGGGGAGCGCTCTCGAGAGCGGGAGCTCGGGAGCGCTCCCGAGAGCGGGCGCTGCTCTCGGGCCGGGAGAGCGCGGGAGAGCCACTTGGGGAGCGCGGCTCTCGGCTCTCGGGAGAGCGGCTCTCGGCTCTCGGGAGAGCGCGGTTTGGGGAGCACGAAGTACGGCTCGTGCGGCTCTCGAAGTACGGCTCTCAAGGAGATTTGAATATATTCTATATGATAATTAATAAATATTGTAGCTATTAAAATGAAATTTCTTATTTGATGTCATCATATGAAAAAGATTTTTTTGGTCCATTAGATATTAAATCAAATTAACTATAACCATTAAATTGATTTTTTGTCTTATAAAAAATTGCTGATGTCACTTTCGGTTTGCTATTTATATATAAGATAATATGATTTCATGGTATTCAGATATTCATCTTTTCTATAGTGATACCATCGATCTATCCTCTTGCTTAATGGTTCTTCTTATTAGATATGTCGTGTTAGTGTTAATTTAATTTGTTAATCATTGTCATATATTGATCAGGTGTTATCCTACTCAAGGCGGTTGGATTCTTCCCGGATGATCAAGAGGTCATTCAATTCTTTCTCACGCACAAAAAGATATAAAAGCTTGTCTGATACAAGCATGAGATCTTTTATCCGATCATCACCGGAAAAGCAGGACCGTTGCAGAACAAGAAAGAGCTAGTGTTATTTATAGGGACCAAATCTCAGGCTCATCCAATTTGTATAGTTAAATGTAAATTTTTTTTTTCTAGACAACAAAAGATAAAGAGAGGAATATGGTGCTAAATAAAATCATTAAATTCACTCTATACGTGTTCTCATAACAAAAAGTTATTAAACGCTGTCCATAAGACCAATCGTGTTCTCCCATAACCGGAATATATAAAAGTTATAACCACTATCTAGAAGACCCCTTAGGACTTGCGACCAAAACCATGCATACAAACTTTGTGTTTAAGATCATCCGATGTAGTTCGATTATAAGATTTCTCAGGTTCCAAACAAAAAAGAATACAAAGATTTCGTGTAGAGCAAGCAAATTTTTGTTCATGAAGAAAAAAACTGCAAAACAAATAATTTTCAATAAGGATGAAATTGTTGTTTGATGTCCTTCACATCATCTTCTATCCTTCTCGTGTTGCGCTTCACTTCTGCCGACCTCTTTGCAATTTCTCTGCTCTCGTCATATAGAGACTGTGAATAAACGTTTTTGCTGTGTTAGCCAACTAACCAAGGTTAAACCTGTTTTGGGGAGGGGGGTAAAGAACTCTTCAAGTAATCCAAAGAAGCAGCTATAATGACTGTTTAACTTTCCAAGTGGATCACTAAGATGTTTGGCCAATTTCGTCATAGTTTCTAGCGAGACTTCACCAAAAGGTAACGTCTTAACACTCATGTTTTTGATTTCAGAGTCTACTGATGTAGCAACACAAGGCTTAGAGGAAGAGTACTCTCCCGACGGCAAAACAAATAAAAATTCAGAAAGTCAGAGAGAGATAGATAGATAACAAGAAATTGGTTAAAAAAGAAAATTGTTTTTTTTATCAGATTACCTAGCAATTCATCAACTGTGGGATAGAGTTTCTTTTTGATTTGTTTAAGTGTTGTTTTTAAACTTGAGTTCTGACAACACTTACTCAAAGTCGATTTTGTTGAAAATAAGATCTTCGGAGTCAACATTATCTGCAACTTTAACAACCATTCAAGGTTGAATGACGAAGCATGCAAGTAGAGCCTCAAATACTGCACGAAGTCTGCACGACATGCTTGTTCTGACGGGTGATCTTTCAATCTAGATCAGTAATGTGTTTCAAGAGTGCAACCATTACAACTAACCAAGACTCATTAGCTGTTGGATTCTTATCATACTCTCTACGGAAACCACTGTATATGTGGAAGATATTCGTATGTACCATGACAGTTTCTTATGTTACTCATCTCCAAAAAGAGAGCAACAGCTCTTGTATAAGAGAATAATATAAGTATATAAAATGTATGGCATTTTTTTCTTAGACAAAAATCAACGAAACAGATGCGAAAACGAACAAATGAAGATGAAGCAATTTAACTTGCAATTTCAATCAATCAAAAACACATGATTTTAAGAGCAAAAGACGTGAAAAATCTAAGTGAATCTAAGAAGAACATATGATCTCGTTATCAATTTGAAGACAAATTTCCTTATTTTCAATCAAACTTAACTTCAAACCCTTAGAGGAGGAAGAGAAACACTAAGCGAATTAAGCAAAGCAGAACACATAATTTTGTTATCAATTTTCTTAAAAACTAATCAGATTCTTTATCTTTATTCAAGATGAAGCAAGTCGTTATCTTCAGTTTACCAAAAAACACATGACTTTCTTTACCTTCAATTCAAGTCATGCTAACCAGAGAAAACACCCTGCTAACCGAAGAAGAACAAACTGAGAAGATCAGTTGCTTCATTTTCTTATTAAATTAATGGTTAAAAAGAATTCAACTTGACCTGTTTAATCTTATGTTTAATCATAAAATTTTTTTATTTTCTGAATTTTTAAAAAATAAGAAAATCACATACACACAGTTGGTGTGACTTTTATGATTCCTGAGCACATTTAATGCAAAGAGAATACTATTCACATTTTTTAAAAGTATTAGTACTCAGTTTTCAGTATTCTATCCGTTTCAATTTATTTGTCATTCTATGTTTTTACACACAAATTAAGAAAATAATTAAATTTATATATTTTCAAAATAAAACACAATTACATATACACCTAACCACTTTTGAATCAATTTAAAAATAGAATGACATTTAAAATCAATAAATTTTGCATTGAAATTATAAAACCACATTTATTTTGAAACAAAAATTTTATTCGAGAATAACATAGAATTTGAAACGGAGTGATTACTATTTAACTATTCAACAACTCATCATCTCCTTTGACTTATAAACAGTGGACATACATTTCTCTCCAACCTCATCCTCGAAAATAATTTTAAAAGATTCATCTCTAACTATTTTCTTAAAAACTCACAACAGTATAAATTAAAAAAAAAAAAAAAAAGAAAAGGAAAGACAATTACGGTTCAACTAAACAGGCAATACTGAGGAACTTCTTGAACATCTACTACTTCCAAAAGAGAAGAAACATCTCTTCATCACTCTGTTATTATCACCACCACTACTGTTACAACCTTCCACACATACACCACCGTCTCCGGCCACCATCGCAGCTTTCCCGATGTTCCAGCCAACGTTAACCACCTCTTGAACAGCCAGGTACATCTTGCGATCCAGTGAAGAGTCCATCGAGATAGATCTTCTTATGGGCAGGATTTCACTAAACTGATTATATTTGCCACGACTATTGATGCATTCATCTCCCATGCTCGTCACTTTGTGAATCATTCTCTCTTTCTTATGCATTGCATGAAGATCGTCTGATGTAGCCCTTTCTTGTTCTGCAAGAAAGACTCTGTTTCTCACGCTTTGGCTATTATTACCATTACTGGTCCCAAGCTCAATCACGAAGAACTCACTGTCACCTCCTAAAACCGCCTCTGGTTCAAGATTCCTATTCCTAGGAGGAGAACTCGGTGCAGAGATTAGGTCAAGAGAGAAACTTGCGTCCCAAGAAACGCTGGTTCTACACAACGGACAATTCGCGTTTCCCTGAAGCCAAATATCAATGCAATCAATGTGAAACACGTGGCAACAATTAGGTATAATCCTCAGCTTCTCATCTTCTTGAAACTCGTTTAAGCAAACAGAACATTCTTGGGAGCTCTTGTCCTGATCTTCTTCTCCTCGAGCAACGTCTCTCTTCTTGAACTTAAAGATTGGGATGGCTCTGATGGCTGACTCGTCGAGACCTCGGTTTAGCTCATGAGGAGAGTATATCATCAGAGGGTTTTGGTCACTGCTTCGTCTTCTGCGGCGAAAGATGTCGATTTGGTGCCAGTTAAGACAGCATTTGATGACAAAGACGTAGTAACTTACAAGCAAGAAGGCAGTAGCTAAGATTCCTATCACTGCGACGGCGAGAATGGGAAAGCTCGTGCCGGAGGAGCTTGATCGTGGGAATAGAGGGCTTGTGAAGGTGGTGGATGGTGGCGGCGGTGGTGGTGGAAAAGCTAGATTGTTGAAAGGGTTGCGACGGTCCGTTAGATCCATTGACTCAAAAATAAATCAATGAAAAAAAATGTAAAATCTACCCTTGTAGAATATGTAGGGTTATTATGTTCAGTAGAAAGAAAAAATGAAGAAATCAAATAATTTTTCTATTGAATCTTTCTCTTTCTCTAAACAAGAATCTGATGTGTTTTGTATATATACGGAAAATGCGTGTGGAAAAAGAAAGATTAGAGGAGAGGAGCAGAGAGTGGTAGAGGAGAAAAACAGAAATGAAGCTGAGGAAAGAGTGGGAGTTGGTGAGATTTTTAGAGGCTCTTTTATATGATTAATGTTTTAATTATTTTTAAGTTGTCATCTTTGTTTCTTGTTTACAACATTTAAGCTATCATCATCCTTCTGAATCTTTTATTATTTTGATTTTCTCGATCTATGTGACTCGTTTGCTGTAAGGTTTCTTTTGTTTAACAGTTTTTGTACTTTTAAAAGAGTAAACAATAAGGAAAGACAGATTACTTATTCCCAGTGGGTTAACTCAACCTGATTTTTGATTATAACTTATATGGATCTTCTGATAATGAAAGTTGTGTTTCTCCATGTATTATACTTTATTCATATGTACTGACGGTAAACTTGGATTCGCTTATCTAGTCTGTAAACTCCAGCTAACCATGATATTTTGCTAATTTGAATATTACTTCTTTCCAAATTATTATTGAGACAATAAATTTTGATTTGGAAAAGGCATAATTTGATCAATATTCACAATTTTTTTTTGTCTGCAAAGTAAGAAAATTATTGAAGATTGCATGGATCTTTAACTCCGAAAAATATTGAAGATCTAAGCTGTGGCTCAACACGTTACAAACAGACACAAAGTTAGTAAGACTTATCGTCTCTTTACCTAGCACCGTGAAGAAAACACGAGAATTAGAAGAAAAGTCAAATCCACCGCTAGGAAAACTCAAGTTTTCGTTATAATTTTTCATTTCCTATGTTAGATTCATGGCATCTGAAAAAAAATGACACTGGCAGACAGAATACAAGAAAAAAAAATCTTAAGGACGCCACAATGTTTCCATACTCTCTGTCGTGTATGTGTGCTCGACGAGTTTGGCTCACAGTCACAGTGACACTGACAGAACATGTTTCATGTTATATTTAAATGTTTCTTATCAATAATTTATTTTCTTTATTTTGAACTTGGTCTTATCAATAATTTCCTATCTTCAGAAAATAGCATTAATAAAATTCATACCTCCACAGCTAAAATATTTCAATTTCAGTAATAACAGCTGTGGCTTCAGTAAGTCTGTGTATATAATTTATACTTAATATTTTTTTCTTGTGTGTATGTATCTGATTTTATACTCGACTTTTGCATGGACATGGATATTTTGAACGAGATACTATAAATATATTATTTCTCAGATTTCTAACACTACAAAAGGAAAACTTGCCCACGGTGGAGACATAAGGCCATCCCCATTAGGGGTTTTTACGAGGTTCAAAGGAGAGGATTACACAGTTTTCAAGAGAACCTGAGGCTGTGGAGTTCATCTGTAAGGGGCGGGTTCATGCACTGTAGCGCGGGCCCTATGATACGTGGCGGTCCGCCATTGGTCAAATTTTTTTTCTTTTTTTTTTTTGAAAAAGTAAACGAAAAAGAAAATTAAAAAAAAAAAAAGAAAAATTCCAGCTGGCGATCTCCACCTCAGTATCACTGATGGAGATGCCCTAACATAGTGGAAACTTTTTCAAAATCTGACTATTGTATCTCCTGAATAAAAGTCGTTCGAGAAAAAATTGCCAGGCTTGAAAGAAACAAAAGAAACAAAAAAATTACCTCCTGATGGAAATCACAGTTTTCAGAAAATACAGTGGGAAATATGAAAATCACAAATCGACAAAATAAGATTCAGATTTGTGGTTACAGATTTAGAAATAAACAAATACCAGCAGAACAATATATCATATGTAACTTAATTACATTGTACTGACTTGACTTTTGAAAATTTATGAGAACATTTAAAACTATGCATTCCAGAAACTTGTGAAAAATTCAGTAGATCTCACATGGGAACAACTGTGAAATAGTTGGTTCAGTTTGGGAAGGAGTTACGAGAATATGATGTTTACAAAATCTAAAACTAATAATTGATATATTCGAAGAAGAATATATATTCGAGAGAACTAAAGTTTTATTTATGCCATAAACACAAGTTATGATCAATGATGTACCATGTAAATTTGGGCACCATGTAGATTTTTTTTGCCATTTTTCTGCAACCTCAAAGACTTGCATGTTATATACTGTTAGTGATTTTTAACTCAAGGAAGTTTTTTATATAGAGTTGAACTAGAGTCTATTCAACTTTTATATTTATACCGATTCCATTAATATAGCAAATATTTGATTGCTCAATATAAAAAAAAAAAAACTTAAGGACTCCTAACAAAAGATTAGATATTTCGATTTGACATTTGACTAGAGACTATTTGACGAATGAGGTCGTGAGAATGCATCGTAATGCGCCACTTGGGCTACTGAGCTTAGACTTCAACAGTGAGACGGATCAGGAGCACGTGGTGCTTGGTCGGTCACGTGAGTGCGTCAGACATTTGTAAACGTGGCTCAGCAAAGAATTCACGTTATGCGTATACAATTTTCTTTGGTTTAACGTTTTTGATGTTCTAAAGAAAATTTAGAACTATATTAGTTGCATTCAGAATCGTAGCCTAATCGTATTAGAGTAACCTTATCAATTAGATTCTCAAACTATGTTTCTCTTCGAAAACATAATTATATTTGATTAAATATTTAAATTGATTTATTGTTATAAAGCAACACCACTTATATTTTGACAATTAAGCAACAGAAATTCTCATATTTCTTATGCATCTACCTCTTTCATATTTCTTATATTTTCTCTTTATTTTTGATCTAAGATATTATGGGAGAATCCCTTGATGTAAGTGCTCTTTATATAGTATAAAACATATGTAGAAATTGCTTACTAGTTAATCCAGAAGTACTTAACCTCATCATTGACCAAGTATATATCTTTTGCTAAGAAGAGATTTAACACAAGTCTTTGATATCACGCCACTAGCAAACAATGTAAACGTCATTCAAGAAAACGTCATTTTTTACCAAGAAAAAAAAAAGAAAACGTAATTTAATTTAGAAATTTATTTATGAAAATTAAATTTTTTTGGGTAAAAAATGAAAATTAAGTTGTACTCTTACATATGTTGCAAAAAAAAAAAAAAAGTTGTACTCTTATTTGTAATTGATGTTAAACAAAACATTTGACTTTTATTCAAGAAAGCTTGAGAGCAGTTTCTTGGGTCAAGCGTAATTTGACTTTTTGATGTGTGTGAGTCAAAACATCCTATTCCAATGCTATTTCATATATTTGCGGACATTAATGAGATAAAATCCAATACTAAAATACTGTAAACTACTCCTTTAACTATATACAAAGTCATACCAATCATAAAACCTGCAAAATTGTTGATTAAATCCAAATATTAGAGTTGTTTTACGGTTTTAAACTTATCAATTTGTTTTTATACATGTGGGAATGTGTTAAAATTTTGCTTTTAATTCAAGACCATTTTCATTTGGGGTTCTTTTATCCGTTTATCCCTCTATTGTTCCATTATTTCTAAACCCAATTGGGTGAGCTGCGTGGACTTTGTGGGTCACGCATAAACTTTGGGCTGGGCTATTTGACTTCAATTTTCTTCCAATAAACTTTAACTAACCATCTCAACCAAGAAGTAATGATTTATGCATGAAAATGTCAATAAATTTTAGATGACAATTTTCTCAAGTTATCATGCTATAAGTTATACATGATCTGACATGAATATCTTCGAGCACAACCGTAATTTATTAAATCTTTATGTAGTTTAAATATGACACTCAAGGTACTTAATTCACACATTTAAAATTAAATGTTCTAAATGTTTTTACATCATGATTGTTATATACTCCCTCCGTTTCGAATTAGATATCATTCTAGAGGAAAAAAATTGTTTCAAATTAAATGTCGTTTTAGAGTTTCGAAACAAAATTTATTAGGTTTATATGATAATCTATTTTTCTATTGATTAAAAAGTAGTTAGTTGTATTGGTAATTGTGTTTTATATTGAAAATATGTAAAATTAAATGTTTCCTTAATCTGTGTGTAAAAATATAGAATGACAATTAAACTGAAACGGAGGGAGTATATGAGATGATTAGGTTAATAATTTAACTACTGTTTCCCCAGTGAAAATGCAACCAACTTTTGATGCTATTAATTTGTTAAGTAATTTATAAAAAAAAAGTTCAGTAAAATCTTTATAAATTAATAATGTTGGAATTATATCAAAACTATAATTTTTTATTAATTTATAAAGATTATTAATTTAACGATATGCTAATTGAAACAAAAATTCAATTTAAAACTATACAATATATTATTTTATAAAAAAAATTAGTGTATATTAATTTATAGAGTATTAATTTTAAAAGAGTATACTGTAAACTCATATCATTTTACATAGCTTGCAATTATTATTTTGAACTTTAGAAAGCTTCATCTTTCAATTTATGTGTATGGTTTCGTCATGGAACGTTGCCGATTATATAATAATTTATAGAGAAATTGGCATGGCTGCCCCTAAGTTGGCCGATAATTGGTCTTTTGCCTCTGTAACCTTTAAATATTTTCAGTTGACGATTATACCCTCACCTCACAATTCGGCGAATCCTGTCGCAAGTCAGACTCCACTCTTTTGTCCGTTGAACAACTTCACGTCTCTTCGTTTCCCCAACCTCTCTCCTTTCACGCGTGAT